TATATATATATATATATATACTAGTTTTAGAACAATACAATATGTGTTTCTTCAGACAATGTCTTTGTCTGGAAAGACCTTGACTATGTTAGCAAGCTAATGCTAAACAACATACAGCATCCATTACAACAGCATGGCTTCAAAGTAGAAATGTCCAGGAGTTGAACTGGTCTGCCTGAAGTTCAGACCTCTCACCCAGTGAAAATATTTGATGAATCATGAACAATATCCTGCAAGGATGACCCAGGCCTGTTGCACAGTGAGAATCTTACATCAGATATGAGTCGTATAAAACACGTGCTCCGAGTTCTACACGTTACAAAACATATTTGCTTAAAATTTTGGCATTAACGTTTAGAGTAAACACAAGCTATGTGTACATGGACATAAGTAATCGGATCTAACGGCCGTTCGGAATAAAAACATGTCATGTAAACGCCGCATTCGGGTTATTTTTGTTTATTCAGCGCGATCCGAAAGAATTTGCGATCCAACGAAACTGGTGGTTTACAGCGATTCATAATCTGAACGGTGTCCGTGTAAACACTTAATCTGTTCATTATTTTCTGATCGTGAAAAACTGACCTGACTGCGCATGTGCGATCTATGTCATTTCCGCCTGGCTAATGCTAATAATATTAGCATGTCGGGGAAGCAAAACTGGTTGGTGAGCGACACAACATTTCTACTAGAAACTTTGAAAGAGCTCAAAATGATCTGTATTACCTGTAGCTCAGTCAGGGAGTGCAGCAATGTCTCCACCGTCATTAAAACCTGTCGTGGGTCCATTTTGAGCACTCAGGTTTGTTTACATTCATACCGGAAGTACATCGGAAGTAGAACTTCTCCTGTGTTTTTTTTTAAGGAGAGTTTACCACTCTGCACATGTCAGTACTTCTGTTCAGAACAAAGCCCGCCGCAGGTAAACGCTCGTCATGAACAGATTGTGCCCATGTAAACGATACATTTGAATTATTTAATATGAAAACATTTCAATCCGGTCCAAAAATGTTGCGCATGTAAACATAGATACACTATTGGCAAAATATCATGAGCCACTAGTCAAACTTGAGTGAAATTCTCAGAAAGCAATCTCTGCCCATACATGTACAACTCAACATATGGAGTCGACTCATTCTAAATGGTCAACAAAGTTACTGATGTTAGTGAACACAAAATGTCTCTAGCTCTGTAAAAACGTATCTAAGGTTGTTTTCACACCTGATAGTCCGGTAGACTCTGTTCGGTTGGGGACCAATATTCATAACATTTTGTTTACATTTGAGCTGGTGCGTTTGCATTCACATTGCACTGCGCAGCTGAGCCAACCTGTTGAACTAACCTGTTCCCCCGCTCGCCTGTGGTGGCGCTGCACCAAGAACTACTGAAAGAAACAACACAAAAACCTCTGAAGAAGACATTTCTTCTTCTTCTTCTTCTGGAAATAAAAACAAAATGGAGTGGCGTCAAATTTTATCGGTTTTAGGAGTTATATTTAGTCATTTTTCAAAAATGGACTCAGCATGAGTGGAAGATGAGGCAGAAGACCATGGAGAATGTTGTTTTTCACACAAGGCAGCTGACGGCTCCATATGAGGCAAGAGAAATGCGTGTTTGTTTGCCATGCGTTGCAGTCCACTTCCTGCTTGCGGAGCAGTGCCCGGTCTGTTTACATTCACACTGTACTCGAACCGTGCTGGAGTTTTCTTCTACTGGACCGCGACCTAGGTTTTAGCCCGGGCCAGAGGTCAACTTTTTGTTCCGTGACAGAGTTCGATAGCGAGTTCACACCTCCCCCCAAAAAAAGGACTTCCTAGGCAAACGGGCTAGAGTTTAGGACAACAGGGCTGGTGTGAATGCCCCTTAAAACTCTACCCTGACTGGAGGGGGCATTCCAATCATTACCGGTAGAGCTGTCATGTCTAATCCAGGCCTGAAGCCCGGCCCGGCCCAAATTCGGGTTGGGCCATAATAAAGTGCTGGATGGGCGGGCCAGGTCGGTGTCTGGCTTTCGATTGCGTCAGCGGATGCGCACGGATGACGATCCAATTATATGGCAACAAGGCTTCCATACATTCATATTATATGACAACAAGGCTTGCTATACAATCACCAGTCGCACGCGGCCATTTGACCATGTACTGACCGGCCTTGAAAGGGGTTAAAAAAAGTTCAGTTAAGCTTCAGATGGGACTACCGGTACTGCCAGGATGTGGTCCATGCGATGGGTGCTGCATCGCTCAAATGGACCTTCATTCAGCCGCTACACTCAGCGGACGAGCACGGCTGACGACCCAAACAGGTGAGATCCCAAATCAGACATATCAGAGCAAGGTCCGTGTCTGAATAATGCAGAGTGCAGCAGAAGCAGGGATTTAATGCGCTTTGACAGCCATGAAAGGACAGACACCCCCTCAGTTCCGATCTTCTGCCCCTTTTATTCAGACATGCACGTCCGCTGACCATTAATAACTATATAAGCAGTCAAAGCTTAATTAAAAATTTCTTTTTTTTTTTCAGGTTCAGACCTGTAATTACTGTTAATTTGTTCGGTTCAAAAATGACGGCTACGGGCTGGAGCCGGGTCGAGTTGGATTTTTTTGGGGCTGAATGCAACTCTAATCACTGGTCAAGAAACATGTCCTCATACTTAGAGGAGCTGACTCTCGTCCCAGCTGCTTCACACTCGGCTGCGAACCACCTCAGTGCACGCTGAAGTTCTTGGTCCATAGATTCCAAGAAAACCATATTATCTGCAAAAAGCAGAGATGAGACCCTGAGGTTCTCACACCAAACAGCCTCCTCTCCAGGACTGCACCTTGACATCCTGTGCATGAACACCACAAACAGGATCAGAGACAAGGGACAGCTCTGGCAGAGTCCAACATGATAGCATCCCAATGACGCACTCTTGCAAGATTTCCCCAAATTACATAACAGTGCAAAAAGTCATTTACAATATTGGGCCAAATGACTATGATGTTGTCCCTTCTCAGATGATTTAAGTTTTAAACTGACATGAAAGACAACAGGGGATATAAATTCCTTCATTCCATCAATGAATGCTTGGCCTTTTAAGTGATTATATTTTCCCCTTGACAAATCTGCAACTAAGATCTTGTTCCTTGTCTACTTTTTTTCCAACTGAGACTAGCTAACTTGATGAAATGCTCGGTAAGATCAAGTATCAGAATATCTTTTGTCAGGATTCTCACAGAATAAATGGATTGGAAATGCTAAAGATGCACGCTCCATCACATTCTGACTAATTCCTCTCTGCCTTTGTTTCGGTGTCATTTCATCATCTTGGAAATCTTTCTATTTTTTATATCTGAGAGGAACTAAGAAGTTTTAACAACTTCATGTGGATTCCTTGGGAAAAAAAAAAGTATTTTCAATGGGAGAAACGCATCAAGAAAAGAGAAGAAGTTAAATGAGAAGTGATTCTGTTTTTGATTCGATCTTAAAGGTTTGAAGCAACTTTGAATTTATTCTGCTCACGACTACAAAACGTACAGTAAATTGATCTGTTAGAGCTGAACGTGTGCGCTGTGAATGACTCAGCTACAACCACATTTTAGCTCAAGATCTGTAAAATTATCTGTTAAAGTAATTTTTACACTATTAACGATTTAAGTAAATCAAATTTTACACAAATAAATTGCCTTGGTCTTAATCAGCTTCCTCCCTGATCACAACTTAGAAAACAAATACTTTATTTGTCATACAAAAAAAAAAAACAGAGGAGGAGGAGCGGGTATAGAAGGATATGACACTTGTGGTTTATGTTTATGTAAAACCCCGGTATTTCTATGGTATTCATCCGTCTCCCTTCTTTTCTTGTGGAGTAAGTAGGTGGTAAAAGGACACTTTAAATCTCTCTCAGATGAGAATAAAGGAGTCTTTATAACCTCCAGCTTCTTTGAAAACACACACGACTTTGGCTTCTGATTCAGAGCAACTGCTGCTGCTACACCTGGATATTACTTCTTCATAAGCACTACGAAAAGCAACAACTGACATGTAAACTAGCTTACATTATTTGTAAAATGAACCCAAGACGAGCCCATTTGTCATGCATTTTTGACATCAACAGGCAAGCTTTAGGATAAATTGTGTGCATCTAACATAAACGATCAAGAGGCAGGAAAACGGCGAAAGACACGCAGCACTCACCATCCTCTTTGCATTCCTCGGGCGGCTTTGCCTTCTTGGCGAGCCTCGGGTCCAGCCACGATGTTGTCTTAGTGTTGTGGCTGTGGAGAGACGAGGGAGAGATAGAGAGGGAGTGTGAGAGGGAGCGTGATCGATGGCGAGGGAGAGGAGAGTTGGCACGGAGCGAGAGCGATGTTGGTGGATACCTAATTCGGCTACAGAATCATTTCAGAGAGGAAAGATGAAACTCCCTTGAGTGTCTGGATTTATAAAAAGTTTGAGACACACACACACACACACACACACAAAAAACGCTTTACGTGAACAAAACAGAATCAATACTTTTAATTTGCTTACTGCATTTCATTAGCAAGTGGGGGGAAAGGGTAATAGAGAGGTGACTGATTAAGTGATAGAGGAACAGCTGTGGGCTGGACAGATTTTTTTTTTCTGGATCTAGATCAGATTCAATAATGGGCCAGGAAGTCTCAATGCACCTACACAATGTAGTCACAATACTGTCCCTTAGTTATGAAGCAACAACAGGCAGGAGAAGGGCAGAGGAAGGGTGCAATGTGACAACTTCACAGCAAGGTGACTTCATTTTCAACTGTGTTTTCCCTAAAACTTTGTTGATACTCTGCCAAATGCATACAAAAAAGGAAACATCACGATTGAGCATCTAGTTGAAACATTAATTTGGTCAAACTATTGCTTGATACGTTTGCCAAATGTTAGTGGTCTACTTCCAAATCTAGACAACAGGATCACATTCATAATCTCTGAACTATTGTTCATCTTCCATTTAGTTTAGTTTTTTGCTAAAGCATTAAAAAATCATTTGGCTCATTAGTGATCAGCTGGATGCTAACTTTGTCACTTTGCCAGTTGTTACTGACTGCAAAGCTGAAAATAAATTACCGATGCATTGTAGCACATAAAACCAAAACAATGAGCCAAAAGAGGCTAAAATGCTCTAAAAACCTCATTAAATAAACATCAACTGCTACATTTGATCTGCTAAAATATTTATTATTAACATAAAGTATAGATGACTTATACATACACCATGCTTGCATTTTACCTCCTGAAACAAATAAGAATTTCTTCTAGTGAAACATCTGCTTTGTTGTCATGTTTGCACGAGACTCCAGCCGAATCTGTGCAAAACAGGATGGCTGCAGGGAAACTGGATACAGAAGCAATGAAGGCACAGTGAGTTCAGAGGCTTTTGGGGACGTGATGTGGGCATGAGTTGATAACTGCACTAATTAAAGATCCAATTAATGATTAATTGTACTCTAAATATAGGGACTTTAATAAAAATATCATTATGTAAACAACACAACTGAAATATTCATATTTTTAGAGTTCTTGCAGTTGTTCATAAAGCTTATGTAGTGACTAAAAACAAATACCACCTGGACACTGACCTGTCCTCTGCAGCTCACCTACAGTATATTTACTTAAACATTGACTCGGAGCCCGCTGAAGTGTAAATTGACTTATTTTTTTCACTCCTGTGTTCCACCTGTCTGTTCCTGTGTCCCAACAGGACCACACTGCTAACAGAACCACACTGCTAACAGAACCACACTGCTAGCGGTAACATTCAACTAACATGACCTCATTGCTAACAGAACCACTCTGCTAACAGCCACATTGCTAACATGACCATGCTGCAAACAAGGCCACACTGCTAACAGAACCACACTGCTAATGGTAACATGCAACTAACAGGACCTCACTGCTAACAGGACCATGCCATTAATTGAACCTCAGTGCTAACAGCACCACTCTGCTAACATAACCACTCTGCTAACAGTACCATGTTGCTAACAGCATCTCACTGCTAACAGAACCTCTGTTACAGAACCACTCTGCTAACAGGACCATGTTGCTAACAGCACCTCACTGCTAACAGAACCTCAGTGTTACAGAACCACTCTGCTAACAGAACCCCTCTACTAACATAATCTCTCTGCTAACAGGATCATGCTGCTAACACTATTTTGACACCAATTTATTTTTTAATTGTTTTTATTGTTGTATATTGTTGTCTATACTCTTTATGTCGTCTGTCTAAAAACAGGTCTCTTGAAAATGTGTCCTAGTGACTCAGTGAGACTACCTGTATAAATAAAGGTTAAATAAAATAAATAAAAACACTTTAATACTTTAACTAATCAAATAATTGACCAGATATTTTAAATCAGCTTTAAAATGTCTAGATTAAAACACACACACACACACACACAGAAATGCAATGTGATACCTAATTGAAAAGTAATTAAAAAGTAACAGTATAAATTAATCAAATGTTGTAAAAACTATTTTACTATATATTTTACACTGACCAGTACAAAACTGATATGGGTATCCCAAGGCCTAAAACTAGTAGATGAAGTAAAAGGGGGGGAGGCACATTAAAGATTATAAATATGAAAGATGAAGGCCAGAGTTAAATAAATACTGAGCCCTACAAAGCATACTTCAAAGTAGGCTTTAATCACTGCTGCTTTCCTTTTGATTTTGCTCCATCAGTTCTTGTCATCTCATCTTCTGTCCTCCTCTTTCTCTGTTGACTCATTTCCTACTCAACTCTTGCCATATTTTCATATTTATAGTATGAAAGAGAAGCAGATTTTATCACTTCCTTGTCCTCTTGATCATATTGCTTTTTTTCACTTTTTACTATTTATGACCAACCTCTTGTGAAGTCGGAAAGTGGGTCAAAAATAAGCCCAAAGATTATTTATCCAAGGGGACATTAAAGTTCAGTATATTGTATGATATAAATTGTATCATATCACATTATATATATTATTTCATATTATATATGTTATGCTAGATTGTGCCATATGTTGTATCGTATCATTGCATATCTCATGCCATACTTTATATAATATATAACAAGAGTACAGTGATATATGGCACGTTATACGTCCATCAACAAAATATTATACAGCAATCTATAGAAATAGCTTGGACAAGTGGAGACAGTTTAACTTTTGACCTTCACCTTTGATGGGCGTATAACAATACAAACACCATTTAGGGGTCGACATAAGCAGTTTCCGTTTGTCCGAGACAGCCCATTTTCTTCTTGGACAACCAGATCTGGTCTCGAGCTTGTTTGGTGGAAAACGAAGTGAAATAGTTTAAAGTTCCTGTGCACCGAGCCTCCAACCTCCCTGGACATTTATACATGTATATAAAATCTAACTTTGTATTAAATGTTAATGTGTTCTGAGCGTCGTCATCAACTTGCGTGCGTGACCAAACTCTGGATTTGAAAGAACAATAGAGGGCTCAGCCTGAATGTCTCCAACGGTGAGGGAGGAGGCTGCGTCTGCTAAGTTTGGTTCTTTTAAATAAACAATATTAATGATAAAATACAAATATTTATGACCCAGATTATAGCAATAACGTGTGTCTTTGTTTAACCTTTTTTTTTCCTACCCAAATTCACAAAGTTCTCTGTGAGAATCAGTTTCATGTGTTTGTAGTTTTTCATAAATCTCTAGAAAATTCATTTCTACATGGTGTTTTAAAAACAACAAGGTGTCGTGGCTGTTTGGATGAACTAAACTTGATAATATTTAGAATCAGACTGAGAGTCCTTGTGACTCAATGAGACTAACCAGTATAAATAAAGGTTGAAAAAATGAGAGGTAACTGTACTGTGATAAATGCAATTTAAGAAATTGTCAAATATGAACAATAGCGTTAAATAACTACATGAGCTGAACTCATGTAAATATAATCCATTTGAATGAAATACAGTAGTCCCTCATTTATCGTGGGGGATCCTTACCATGAAGACCTGTGATAAGTGAAAAACCGCAAAGTAGGAATAGTAGTACAAGTAGTAAGTAGTACTTTAATTTTATTTTATATACTTTGTATAAATATATATATATATATATATATATAAAGGTGTTTTAAACCCTTCCCACACTCTTCTTTGCCACCTGCAAGCTCTATTGACCACGCCCACATCTCCGCTATGCATGGTGAACAGCTGATCAGCTGTAGCAGGAAGTTTATCCTGCAGTGTGGGCTGAACAAAGGAGCAGGAGGTGCTAAATAATTAAAAAATTCGATGATGATTCTGCAGCTCATCCATCACCAGTAATCAGCCACTTGTGTGTCATGTCCAATCTTATTTTGAAAAAACGCGATAGAGCGAGTCCGCAATAAACGAACCGCGAAGTAGCGAGGGACTACTGTAGTCGTATTAAGGGAAAAATCGGTCAGTCTGGTTAATGAAAAAAAAAGTTAATTTATACTCTGCAAAGGACCTCCTGTGTGTTCAAAATAAATAAATAAATAAATAAATATCAGTGTTTCCCCTACGATTATACAAGGAGGGCGCCCCGCCCTGTCAACAGAACCAAGTGTGTTGCCTACAGAACTGTGCGACAACTGGCGGCACTGACATAGCGCTAAGCTAGCGGCATGCAATACAAATGCGCAAAAATGGATGGATATATATATATATATATATATATATATATATATATATATATATATATATAAAGTTGTTTTAAACCCTTCCTGCACTCTCAGCCATGCACACTTCTCCGCTGCAGAGCGGAGATCTGACACATTGCAGGAGGGAGCTTCTCCTGCAGCTGTGGGCTACACACAGGTGCAGCAGGTGCTAAATAATTTAAAATAGATATTTTATATAAAAATTCCATGCCGATTGTGCCGCTCATCCATCAGTCAGCCAATTGTGTGTCATGTCCAATCTTACTTTGAAAAAACGTGGTAGAGCGAGTCCAGGAAAAATGAATTGCGAAGTAGCTAGACTACTAGGGTACAATAGGGACTACTGTAAAATTAAAAAAGGTCACAGGAAGTAGGGGTTGAACGTGAATATAATCTTTAAACTCGACATTAACATAATAAAACCCGAGTAGAACTCGAGTATTTGATAACGTCATAGATCTCAAAATACAAAAATAAATAAATAAAACCGCAAAAAAAAGGTAATTATTTACAAAAAAAAAAAAAGGACCAACAAAACATTGAGTATATTATGCTCCTACCATTTATCATACTGCAAATAAGTCACAGGAAAAACTAAACTATTAGTTATTATTATTAAACTGCAAACGTGAAGAAACGTGCAGCACGTCAAAAACGAAACTTAACCGAAACTGTTTCGGTGGATTGGACCCGGTGTTACACCATACTCTGTGACCTGCAACAGTGCAACACCGCCCCCTACGGTCATACGGTGGCCACATAATATGACGTCACTACGGATACTCGATGTTAAATTTTTAACCTCAATAAATGTCCTAGCAATCGATGTGTAGATTACTCGAGTACTCTGTTAATGCCCTAACAGGAAGCTGGTGCCCATCTCCACCAGTCACTGGGGAAAAGGTGGAATAAACCCTGGTCAGGTCATCAGTTCATCACAGGGTCATGAAGCGACAGACGACCATTCACACTCACTCACACTTAGTGACAACGAGTACTTCCTGTTAACCTAGCATGCATGTTTTTGGTATGTAAGAACAAATTGCATCATATTTCAAATTGTCATTAATTTCCTTTCCTTTAAAATATTCTCACTTTGAACATTTTTTTCTTACCACAGCTTTCCAAGGCCTGAAGGTAAATTAATCAATCCTGTATGAAAGTGAATAACAGGTGAGCAACATTTTCGTAACTGCTATTACCAAGCTAACACTACATAGAGTGAAACAGTTACTTATATAATGTATCAGTGGAGAAGGGAGGACAGGTTTTCTATGTTTTCAGGCTAGATGTGTTAAATCATGTGCAATGGAATAATGAAAAGTTAACCTTTGCCTTGCTTTCAGTTCTCAGTCAGGTTTGAATTTGAATCTGCGTTCATGTGCACATAATATGCAATTCCCTGCACACCACTTCAAAGACACACAGGGAGTCCATTATTCTTAAGGTACAAAAACTCACCTACATTTTTACTGCAGCTGTAAAATGCTAACAACTGCAGTAAATTAAACTTTGGAGCGTTTACAACATAGTTCAGTGTAAACAGTGTTTCTGGAGACCATTAAATCTAATTTAACCATCATGCATCCACTTATGTTCTCTCTGTGTTCGTACAAGAGCAAAGAGGAAAAATAATAATAATAATAATAATACACACATAAAATGATTAACAGACTGAGCAGGAAAAAAGTGAGTTATCAAAATGCAAAGTAATAAAAAATAATTAAACTTTTTCATAAAACAAATGAAATCATGATCGATCGGGATGCTGAGCTAACATTTCTGCAAGCTTTTTTAAACGTGTTCTCTTACAGACCACTGTTGGGGGTTTGTTTTATTATAATCATAGTTTATTAAAGTAAGCACAGATAATATTAGAAATAGTATTTGTTGGTGTTTTCAGTACTTTAAGAAATTATCTGCTTGGTTATCATTATTTTAAGCTCTGAACAGAGTTTGTAGGAATATTGTTTTTGTTTCGTAATAAACCTGGGGGGGAACAGGAAAGCTGGAAATTATGTTAAAAATCACATTTAGTACAAGTTAAGCTAATTTGTCTAGATAAAAGTTAAACTTTTAAAAATCCCAACAACAAACTCTAACGTATAAATCATTCAAGCCTGAAAAAGCATCTAAACCTGAGAAAAGAGCCAACAATGCGTTTCCAAATTACAAACAACTTGGCAAAGAGTTAAACATTTTAATCTTTAGGCAGTTTGCCTTTGAGTCATTCTCTAAATGAGGTGCCTTTTTTATGCTTGAATAATTCATTGACCAGTAGTAAACCCCACATAAATAAATGTATGAGGCTATCCTTCTGAAAATATTCATGGACAAGGACTGGACTGAAAATAACTAAACGAGGAATGCATGTCAAAAGAAATGTTTGGGAAGGCTTTTAGAAAGGCTACAACTCAAACCTAATTAAAAAAGTTATTAGGAAATCAACAGCTGCGAGAGGCAAAGGTCCTTGATTTTTTTTATTTTACTTTTTATTTTATGAATGATATTGTTATAAGTCACAGGATTACATCAAATATCCCGGACGAGCCCCCATTAATGTTATGACCCAGCTCAGCCAGGAAAAGGGGAGGCAACATTAAAATCAGGTGGAAAATGTTTTTTAATAAAAGTAATAATTTATTTGGTAAGTTGAGCAAAATTAAACAAAAGGAGAGTACTTGAAAGTACTATTTAGCAAAGATGTTTTATAACAAGGAACACTGCTAACACTGACATAATGAAAAGCATACATGAAACTTAAAGTCTGTCCAGCTAAATGTAGTATTCATGACAATTCTTTGGAACAAGTGAGCCTGTGTGACCTGAACATGATACACGGTGAGTTAAATGTAACCTGGAGGACACTTACTCTATGAAGTAGACTTCTCCTTTCTCTGTGTAGGCCATCTCCCAGTTGTCAGGCAGTGGCCCCAGCTCATCGTTCTCCTCCGGTTTGGGCACCACCATCTTTGGGGACTGTCCGTCCTCTTTGGGCACTTCTGCTGGGGCCTCTGCCGAGTTACTCAGCGGGGCGACGTCTCCTGAAGCATCTGTACTCTTGTCCTCATGTTCACTCGACTCTGAGGGCACAACAAGGGTGGGATAAGTCAAACGTGACACTATCATCAGGAGGACGAGAAGAGTGGCAAACTGAAAGAAAGACAGCTGAGAGGGAGGCAGAAGAATAGAAAGAGGTAATTAGAAAAGTATGAGAAGTGGTGACTCAGGAGAAAGAAAGTGAAGGAAAGAATGGGAGTTAACAAGACAGAAAGATGAATAAAGCAGTGGGGACAGTAAAGATTGAGAAAGAGCAGGCACTCTGCTTTGAGTTGTGGTGGAGTGTGAAAATGTCAGAGAGAGAAAAATGGGAAGAAATGGAAAAAGATGGCAAGCGTGAGCTCTTCCCTGAGGAGAGGGGGGGAACAAATGAAAGCAGAGGATTGAGAGATAATCTATGGGAGGGAAAGTGAGAGTTACTGATCTGGTTAGATCCCAGACACTGCTGGGCTCAATCGATCCCCCCTTCAGCTGTGCTGGTCAGCCCTCACTGTCCAGCCACAGACACACAACAACTATTGAGCTGAGAGCAGCAGCACCCTTTAACATCCACCAGACTTCACTGTGCAGCCCACAGGCACAAGTTATTGATAGAAATCAGCTGAGTGTATCTCCTGTTCCTGCATCTTCTCTCAGGGCTGCTTTCAGAGCAATCGCTTACAGAAAACATATGTCGTAACTGAACACTTTAGGTTTTTCTTAAGAGTCAGACATGCACAACTTAAGAGTAATTATAAAAATAGAAAGCATATCCTGTTTTAATTATGGGGTGTTGTGTATCAGGACATAATACAATGATTTAGTATTTACCAGGCTCTAAAATTATTTAAATCCAAGGAGAAATCTACAACAAAATGATTGGAAAAAATAATAAAATAAAGGCATTTAAACGGTCCAGTCCAAGTTCATTGCTTAATGTTGTGACCCTAAGAGAGTTTTGCAGAAACAAATATCTACAGATCTCAGTGAACTGATGCAACATTGTAAAAAAAAGACTGTAACAAACTTTCTCAATTCAGTGTATTTATAGAGTGCCAAATCACAACAGAAGTCATCTCAGGGCACTGAACAGAAACATTCATGACAACTCTGTCATATGTCATATGACATTTCTTTTTAAAACGCTATCAGTGTTATTTATTATGTTTTCTTGCTGCTAAACAACTCTCGACAACCATGTGAAAAACTGATAGTCAGAAAATGATTTTCTTCAAGTTAATGCTGCTTAGATATACGTACGTTGTTGAATCATAGGCTAAAGATCTTTTTTTTTTGTTAAATACAAACTGGTATTTATTTTTTGGTGTTGTTTAAGAAATGGCAAGATGGTGAAATCTGTTATTCGTTTTAGTCCAAATTACAGAAAATTGTAATTTTGTCCTGATATTTACAACCTTAGAACGAAAATATTATGTACTTTATTTTCCCCGTGACTGCACATACAATCTGAGCCATTTCAGATAATTCTTAATTTGGGTTAAAGGAAGTTCAGATTAAGACTTTAAAGCACATTTTCCCCCAGATTAACACTTAATGACTTTATTGACAATTATACCCCATATATGACTGATGGTCTTTATTCAAATAATGTGAAATATTTAATGTTTATTCTGAGGTTGTAAGTCATAATTAACTAAAGTGAGATTATTATTTCCCCATTTTAACTAATCAGTTCTATTAATATTCTTTGCAACATCCCTAATAAACAATTTAGTCAAACAGGACAGAAAACTTTGTTCACATTTGTTAACTGTGAATCCACACAGAACATTTTTATCACAGTATCCATTTAACTTGCTGGAGTTTTGTCCGTTTTTTAAGCGGCACATTTACAGAAAAGTGAAGGTTTTTTACAAGCATGTAGTTAGGGTTTTACTCTTACATATCGTGTATTAGAAGTTCAGAAATCATTGCATACATGGTCTTACGTGAATTACTGCTTCACAAGAACAAATAGCCTGAAAAATTCTTATTTGGTGAAATTATGTTTTTTGTATATTCAGTTAATGTCTTATGATATTTCTTTTTAAAATGCCATCAATGCTATTTATTCTGTTTCTTGCAGCTAAATTAATTATCTATGGCTCATTTTGTAAAGGAGTTTGTAAAATGGAAATTATGCATTCTAAACTAAATTACTTATAATTATTCTTTCAAGACAACATTTAATCTGAGAATGACATTTACTCACCTATTTTCTTACCTTGTTTGAGGTCAGTGTGGTGGAAACACAAATATCTCATCCTCTAACCAAACTCACTTTCTTCAAAAATCACTTCTGAATGTGTTTAGAAGTAAAACAGGCTTACGATCCAGCTGAAATGGGAAAGTTAAGTTCAATCTGCTTGTATTTTTGTGCTGCTCTGTAGAACAGCAAGAATTCCCCAAGGCTATCAAACCAGTTTAGAAAGTCACAGGACTACAGAGTGGGTCGAAGTTTGAAATAACAGAAATGAAGACTCATAAAGCCTCTTTTATGATTCTCCATTCATGTGATTAAGGGATGTACCCAAAAACTTGTTGTGTACAAGTGTGGCTGAGCACTTGAGTTAAGATGATATAAGACATAACCATTTGTGTCTCAATCTGAGAACCATTCAAAGTGTGATCTGATGACTTAGGAAGCAATGAGCAGTCTTTAACTCAGTGAAGACATTGTTTATATTTGTCAAATATATTTAAATTAACTAATAACATACATAACATTTAGAAAAGCCACATCTTTGTCACATTACGGCTGATAATTTTGAGATATTTCCAATTAATGTCGGCTACAATATAAACGGAGTGGTTAATTGGTAACTAAATTGTCCCTAGTTGTGAGTGAGAGAGTGAATGGTTGTTTGTCTCGTTTGTCTCTATGTGTCCCTGTGACGGACTGGAGACCTGTCCAGGGTGTACCCTGCCTCTCACATAGTGACTACTGGATATGGGCACCAGTGACCCCCATGACCCGGAAAGGAAGAAGCTGGTAAAAGATAGTGGATGAATGGATGGACTGACGGATAGATGGATGGATGGACGGACGGATGGATGGATCAATGTTGACAGCAAATGAAAGAAGACAATGCTTTTCAAATACTAGTAAAACAAGATTTTGATTATAAAGTAATTTAAGAGTTGGTCATTGAAAATGTATTATTTAAGTCATATTGATTTGATCGATTCCAGTTTGTAAATGTAAAAAATTTATATTCTTCATACACAAAAGTTAGTCATGGAGTTCCTCAGGGTTCAGTGCTTGGACCAATACTTTATATATGCTTCCATTAGTTAGTTATAAAACAGCATGGGATAAATTTCCATTGTTATGCTGATTATACTCAGTTATATTTGTATATGAAACTCAACAAATCTAATCAGTTACTTAGACTACAGGTATGTCTTAAAGACATAAAAACCTGGATGACCCTTAAATTTCTGCTTTTCAACTTAGACAAGACTGAGCTTTTGGTTTTTGGACCCGAGCATCTTAAGAATAACCTGTGCAGCCTTTCATTTCCTCTGGATGGCATTAATATGGCCTCCAGTTCAAATGTATAAAAAGCTTGTGGTGTTATTTTTGATTAGGACATGTCATTTAACGTCCACATTAAAAAAGTTACCAGGCCCACTTTCCTCCACCTGCGTAATATCACTAAGATTAGAAATATATTGTCCAAAAATAATGCAGAAAACTGGTCCATGCATTTGTCACATCTAGGCTGGATTATTGCAATTGTTCTCTCCATTGGCTCCCTGTCAAATCCAGAATTGAATTCAAAATATTACTTCTATCATACAAAGCTCTAAGCTCAACAACCTAGCTCCATATTAAATTACAGATCTTGTTCCATGTTTTCCTAACAAAGCACTTCGCTCAGACTGCAGGTTTACTTGTGGTTCCTAGAGTTTCTAAAAGTAGAATGGGAGGCAGAGCTTTCAGTTATCAGGCTCCTCTCTTGTGGAACCAACTTCCAATTTCTGTCCATGAGGCTGACACATTGATACTTTTAAGATTAGTTTTAAGTCTTTCCTTTTTGATACATCTTATAAATAGGGTGGACTTGGGTTTCCTGAGCTATCCCTTAGTTATGCTGTTATAGGCTTAGACTGCAGGAGGACAAAGTGCCCACATTTTTCCTCACTCTGCTGCTGTCTTTACTTGTTCTACTCTACCTGTTTGCATTTGTAATTATTTCCATCTTAACACGTTGTTCGTCTTTCTTCCAATAGAAACTACACCTGGACCTGCTATTCTGTGTTTGTCTGTTTCTCCTTCCTGTTCCTCTCAAACCCCAGCCGGTCAAAGCAGATGACTGCTCGTCCTGAGCCTGGTTCTGCTGGAGGTTTCTTCCAGTTAAAAAGGGAGGTTTTCCTTTCCACTGTTGCCAATGTGCTTGCTCAGGGTAGGTGAGACTGCGAAAAAGTAAAGATTCAATGAAATCTGTTGGCTTCCTTAGATAGATGACTTTTACTAAATGGCTTTTATAATGTGTGATTGTTTTTGTACAGTGCCCTGAGATGACCACTATTACAATTTGGCACTTTATTAATAAACTGAATTGAACTGAAAATTTCACAAGTTGCTCACACTTGAACTGCTCAAATTCACAATCTTGACCTGTTCCTTAGTTACACGTGGGTTATTTAGCTATAGTTTTAATATTAACTGCCTGCCACCAAAAGGTAAAGACGACCAAAAATGCCTTCACCTGTGTCTATGTTTGTTTCTAAATCATTTCATAAACCACTTAAATGTTAATACATGTTAAACAAGCAACTCAATGGATGTACTTTATTGACTGAATAACTTTTGGAGTCATCGCAGTTCAAGATGGCTGCCATGCTAACATAAGTCAACTCAAAAATGGCTATAATGCAATCAGTTTTACAAATACTGAGCTAAAATTGTATGTGGTAGTAGCTGAGGGTCATTAACAACATAAACATTGAGAGTGACATCTTGTTTTTTAGTACTAGATTGCTCATAACATTTTTTTTCAAGATATAATCAAAACAGCTCCCAACTCCATCATTCGTTTTTATCATTAAATACTAAATGCTTTTGGTAAAGTGAACAATTGTTTTCCTTTTAACTATTTGCTTTGACAATGTTAAATTTTAAATCTGCTTTCCACATTTTGTATTTGAAGGAAACATCCTAATCCTGGCATAGTGAGCTTAACTAATGCCACTTTAGCTGTTTTCTATTTGTACGGCAATACTGACCCTTGCTCAGGTCAGATCTGTGCGGTGGCCCTGAGGTGTAAACGAACAACATTTGAAAAAACAGAATTAGATTTCAAATTTGAAAAAAACAATAAAAACACAAGAACATTTGGAAAAAACGGAAGTACATTAAAAAACAAACAAACAAAAAAAAAAACGGAATTACATTAAGCCAAAGTGGAAGTGGTGTTTTTAATTATTATTATTTTTTTTACTTTATTAACAACATAGAACAACAGAACAGTGTACAATAACAAGATACAAATACAAACTTTTGTGAAGGGTGTGGGTCCATGTATAATTTGTTCATTGTTTTTTTAATTGAGAATCCAAAATGAATAAATAAAAAAAATACACCACACGGTTTGGCTTCATGTAATTCTGTTTTTAAAAAAAAAAAGTGATTCCAGCCACTTCCGCTTTGGCTTAACGTAATTCCGTTTTTTCAAATGTTGTTCATTTACACCTCAGGGCCACCGTAGATCTGCTTACAGGTATAAATGTTTACTCAACTCACGCCTCGCTGCTGTCCTGACTTATCAAAATTGTCTCACTGACAGAAACAGACTTCTAATATGGCACTCAAAATATGGAAATAGCTAAAATAAGTATATTTTAGCATTAAATTCAGACAAACCAGTTTGGGAATTGGGCAACTTTTTGGGTGCCAAAGGTTTTGAAAGGGCTGTTGGCCCACTGGCCAACTATTGAGTAGGTCAAAGAATGGTCCTGCAGATAATCAAAAATAAGTAAAGATGTTTCCCCCCTAACATTTGGGGAACATAAAAAGCTTTTATCATGAGTGGCACTTTAATTTGTTTGGACCATTTCACTCAGTGAGGAACTTTCTTCAAAGTGACCCTTGATTATCTGCTCTCCTTACTACTCAGCTCACTAATTACTTCTCCATTCTAACAGTTGTTATCTTCCCTCAGTATTAACACTTCCTGCTTTCTTTAGTTTTCTGTCAGATCCAAATTGTTTTCTGACTGTGCTGTTTTTTACCATATTCGGTTTTGTTCCTTGTTAAGTTTTGCGACTTCGGTCTTGCACCATTTATTGTTTGAACTCAGAAGAAAAATTATATATTACTCACGTTAACATTTGTACAAATAAATTATTTTATTTTTTTACTTTTTAAGAAAAATCCCCAGATGTTTGGTATATATGCAGTCCTTATTTTACGATTTTTTAATAGCATTTCTATAAAAAGACAATGGTTTGTAGAGAATCAAATTAGAAAATAAAGAAATGGTTGGTCTCAAACAGCCTGCAGGCTCCTGTTGAATAGAGGGGGCAATATATGGGTTTGCCCCAGGCTTCCTCCTCTAGCGCTGCTTTCAGTAATACTATCCAGTGTAGAAATGATGCAGATGTACTCACAGAGTTAAAAATATGTAATTTTTATCATTAAAAATAAACATTTGTGACCAACGAAACATCTACATTAAATGCATAAAAGCAATATGTTTCTGCCTCTGTTGCTAAGCAACCAGCCCTGAGGAAATCATTGCTGTAACTTAAAACCGTGAACCTTTTCAAGAGTTTGACTCCAATCAGGACCTCTGCCTGGCTGAGCTGACCTTTGCTTCTGTGTCTGTGGAGATTTGTTGTCGGGGCTGACCTGGGGTGACGGCAACATCGTTGCCGTTGACGATGGGCTTCTCCTCCTCCTCTTCCTCCGGGGGCTCGATGTTGGCTTTTTCCATGTTGCTGACTGACTTGTTGCGCTTCCTCTTGCCTTCAGAGCTGGGTCTGGCGCCCGGCAGCAGCTGGTCTGTTACATTTAGCAGCAGAGAGTTGGGCTCGACTGGCGGCTTTGGGGTGCCGTAAAAGTTATCTGGAAGAGAAAAAAGGAGGAGGAAACTCAGACTTTCAGCTACACTACATTGTCCATCGTTAAAGACTGGGAGGATAACTGAAAGTGATTCCAAGCAGACCATTGTGAGCGTTGTTAAAAACATGTGTGTACAGTACAAGATCTGTGAAAGCTGTGGTCTTATCTTTTCTGACGTGTCAAAGAAATCAATAATATACTTTATGTCTTCTGATTATGACTTAAGGATGAAGCAACAAAAGGAGTGACGCAATTCCTTCAGTGGATTGGATTATTTTTGAGATTTTCCTTTGTTGGCTCAAAACTCAGTCAATTAAAAAATATATATCTGTGTAGAACAAAGTTTGAAGCGTTTTGTTCTTATTTTGTTCTTCCAGAAAGTTTTCAAGGCGCTGCACAGTCACCTATATGAATCTTCGTTAACTACTTTTTCATTTAAATGTTCATTTTAAGACAAACCTGCAGGGCTACAATATCACAGAGGATTTTTTTTTAATACTTTGAATTATCATTTTAAAAAATGGTATAAAAAGAAATAGTGATGAAAATACTTTGCATGCTCATAAAGTAAATGCAAAAAGACTGAGGAATTAGAGAATGAAGAACAAGATTAAAAAAATACAGCTACAGAGTGAAGAGCGTAAGGATAAGTAAAGTGGGATTATATTTGTGACACAGGGTGGTCAAAATTGATTACTTTCCTACTTCTTATGCAGTTTTTTTTTTATTTTTTTTTATTTTATTTTACAAAACCCAACACTTAACTAACATAATGCAAACAGCTTTGTATGTTTGGAAACCTAGAGTTTTACCTGCAAACAGCTCGTTTTTCAGCCAGATTGATTGTTGCCAACTATTTTATTGTTCTTCTTTCTAGAAAAATCAATTTGCAGACCATGCACAATTGTTGGGGGCAAATATTAACATGTTTTTTGGAAAGCTTGGATAGAAAAATAAATCAATCTCACTTGTAGTTAGAGCCAAGTACCCGCTGCACCCAGTGGAGAGTCAGTTTCTGACTTGGCACCGACTCCTACAGCCCCAGCCACAGTGTTCTAAGCCGATTTCACATTTTGCTATCATTTGAATTGAATACTGGCAGTCTGCCATGCTTTTGATGGTCTCCATCAGTCACTGTGAAAACCTCCCAACTTCATGTTGGATTCTTCAGTTTAAGAGCTGCTGTTAAGCCATTTTCCTCTTAAGGTAGAATAAGCTTTAAAGGTAGTGGATGATTGTTTGAGCTTACCTGACCTTTAAGAAATTCAAAATACAAATTTAGCTTTAAGCTGCATTGTGACTTTCAGGACTGTGATGACATTTTTAAACAAAGACAACTAAAACATAAATTGGAAATAACAGTATTAAAGTTGTCATTACAAATTAAAAGTTTTGCATTACTTGAATTAATGCATATCACCCGGCTCCAAAATTTAATCAGTTGTAGATGTATACTTTCCATGCCATAGGCACATTGGGGTGTTGCAATAGAAAAAGCTTTTTTCCTTAGTTTACCGATGTCCCAGGAGAAATTTGATGGCCCACATCCGAGGTCAAACGGGGGAGTCAGATTGAGATAAGCCAAAATTGTTGATTTTCTTCAGACATACTGTTTTTTTCTTGTCAGCCTTGAGTCCTGCTGGTACTTTCCAGATCCAAAATGATCAGATTTAAGGGCATTCCACTGAGCCGTGCTATGAGCCTTCTTCAAGGTTGACTCCAACATGCTGGTGAGTCCTAAAAGCCGCAGGTGGCCTGTGATTCTCACAAATCGCTTCCATCTTATGGTTTAGCTTGTAAATCCGCTGATTTTCAGTACACGTAGCACAAACCAAACCTTCACACAGACTCTGCAGTTTTGCCATGGCCGAAACTGTTGCCGATATCCTCTTCAAAAGTTGATAACATAGGGACCCGCTGATGCCAAAAAGCAGAAACCCTGCTATCATGAATCCTATTATATAAACGTCTTTGGCATCCTCCTGAGACAGAACTGAAAGACACATCAGCTGCCAAACTCCCCACAGATCCCTGATATATCCTGCAGCGTGAGTCTCGGCAGGACATGAGGGCTCTCCAGGACCCTGACCCTGTAGAAAATATTTTGTCAATTGCGTTGAAAGTCCAGGTCACCAGATTCATAATAGATATTTTTTCCGTTCGGAAGATGTGTATCCCAGGAGCTCCGAGACACACACACAGAGCAACAGCAGGATGAAGGAGAACAGAGGAGGGAGAGGAGAAAGTGTCCGCCTTGAAAGAGAATGAGAACAGAAAAACAGACAGCAAAGACCTTCGCTGACATCCTTTTGTCGCAAATCACTCATGAAACTTTTCTCCACCCACTTCATCCTGCCTGGACTCTCTTTTTCTCCTCTTTACCACATTCCCTATTTTTCTGGACAGTGAACCCCAAGTGCTTGAAGTGCTGCATCTTTGTGACCTCTGCTTCTTGTAGCCTCACTGTTTCACCAGCCTCCCTCTCATTCACACACATGTACTCTGTCTTACTATGAATGACTTTCATTCCTCTTCTTTCAAGTGCATACCTCCACCGCTCCAAGATCTAATCCACCTGTTCCCTTTTCTCACCACATATCATAATGTCATCTGCAAACTTCATAATCCACAGGGATCTGACCTAATCTGTTAGTCGGTCCATCACCAGAGCAAACAAGAAGGGGCTCAGAACCAATCCTTGATGCACTCCCATCTCCATCTTGAAGCTATGTCACTCCTACAGCACATCTCACCACTGTCCTGCTGTTCTCACACATGTCCTGTACTAGTCTAACATATATTTTTCTGCCACTCTAGATTTCCTCATGCAATACCACATTTCCTCCCTCAGCACCCTGTCATATGCTTTTTCTAAATTCACAAAGACACAACGAAGTTCTTTCTGACCCTCTCTGCACTTCTCCATCAGCATCCTCAAAGCAAAGATGATGTCTGTGGTGCTCTTTCTCAGCATGAAACCATACTTTTGCTCACAAATAGTCACCTCTCATCCAAGTCTTGCTTCCACAACTCTCTTCTAGATCTTCATCGTGTGGCTCATCAACTTAATTCCCCTGCAGTTGTCACAGCTCTGTACATCAATCTCGTTCTTAAAAACGGGCACCAGCACACTTCTCCATTCCTCAGGCATTTTCTCATCCTCAAAAATATCAGAGGCGCACACTTTTGAGGTATTAAAATCACAAGCTATTTCACAGAGACAGAAATGACTTCAACGGTTAGAGACAAAATTTTAGGCCAAGATCTTGTTTAACTTGCTAACAATCAGATTATGTGTATCAGAATCAGCTACTTCCACAATAAAATTTAGGTAAATCATCATAAATATCTTGAAAACTAATTGAGTTAGAGCTAATTTTGTACTGCTCACGGTCAGTTGGATGTTGAAGCAATCTTGAATTTGGTTGACAATAAATCCTAATCACACACACAAACATCCAATGATTGATTCTGTGAGTTTCATTACAAGTGCCAAGATGGCTGTGCTCAGCCGAGCGGCAGCTTCACAGGCTCCCAGTGAACTCAATCTTTTTTTTTGTTCCTGTTGTTTTTGTTTTAACCTTTTTTTTTGCGCCTACATTGCACATCCACAGTACGGGTATGACTGCAACACACTTGTGGAGTTTGCTGTGTCGCTGCCTTGCCATCGTGCGATCGTGGTTCAGTCCTTCCAGTCTTGGGCTCAGGCCTGTCATGGCGGCTATCTCCATGATCCTCCAAATGCCTGTACAGACCAAACTCTACGGACGCATTGAGTTCTGTGGGGAAATCTGGATGTTACCCATCTGTTGGACCAAGTTCTGGAGGGCAGTCTGTGAGGACAGCTGCTGCGGTCATTATTACAATCAAACTGCTGACAGAACCTTCTAACTGGACCTGCTAATGCTGCTAAAAAGATCCTCCGTCTGCCTGAACAGACCAAACTCTACGGACTCACTTGGTTCCATGGGGGAACCTTGGATTTTCTCTGTCTGCTGGACCTGGTTCTGGAGGGCAGTCTGGGAGGGCAGCTGCTGCGGTCCTTGTTATCATCATGCTGCTGATGGGACCTGCTAACAAGACCTGCTAATGCTGCTAACAAGACCATACCACTAACCAAACCACACCGTTAACAGTATGATGGTACCAACGGGACCATGTTGTTAAGAGAAACCTCACTGCTAACCAAACCTCACTGCTAACAGAACCTCACTGTCATCAGAACCACTCTGCCAATAGGACCATGCAGCTGTAGATTTATTTATTTTTCTTTTTTGGCACCTTGTTTCTGTATTTTTGTTGCATGCTTTGAATAAATCCCAGTTTATGTTAGTCTTGGGGTCGGCTCCAAGCCTGACGCTGCTCACATTAGCATGTAAATTATGGTAGAACAGAACCTATGAAAATTGTGCTGCTGTTTGGTGTATTGTTTTGCACTATTTGTGACTAGCGTATATCTTAGATCTTTTACTGTACCACTGGGTGTTCATTTAGTGTATATCTTAGTTTATATCTTAGATCCTTATTTATTTTCTTTTTACACTTTATATTGTTGCTATTGTTGGATGTAATTGGGACCCTGTGTACACAATTTTGTTCCACCTCATGTACCACATGTGATGTGGACTATAAAGAACCTTGACTTGACAATTTGTCCAGAGATTAATATGACTTTTTTTTGTATAACAGACCCAAGATCACACAAAACACACACATAGGGGAAAAAAGAAGAAAAAGTCCCCCTTTGCTTTTTTTGTAGGGGGTGGTAATGATCAAACATGACTTTTCCAAGAAGCTTTTTTACAATTCAAAAAGTGTGCAAACATATTTTTATTTAAACCACATCTTTGTGCAGATCAAGGAAGGTTTGTTTTTAGGAAAGCTTATCAGCTCTTAGGTGGTCAAGGTAGAAGGATCATAACTGAGAGAACAATTTGTGCAAACATCTACTGGGATTATTTTATTGCGTAAAGCTTGAGTTTTAGAGGAACAAATTAAAAAAC